AGTCACCAAAACTATTATTATCAGACATTAGCTTTTATTTGTATAAATTAGTTTGGTTTTAGTTTTCATGCTTCAATTATTGGTTGTTTGGTTAAGTTTATGACATGTCGACGATTTGGGAATAATTGATAAAAATCAGACAATTGTCGGATTTTCAGGAAATTTTCCGGACTTGTTGAGAAATAAACGAAATTATTTTTGAGTTACAAGGGGCAGCCATGCATTCCCGTTCAATGGAAGGAACAAGGAAGATAAGTCAAGGCTCGTCTAGTGGTGTTGAGGTTATGGGAGAAAAAAAATGGGAAAAAGTCAATTCAGAAAGAGTTTAACAATAGTAGCGGAACGTAGTTGCATCATTGGTTTTAACATTGAAACCCCCGCCGTTTGCCAGCACAGCAAAAAAAAAAAAAAAACATGATGGATATAGAGATTAAGCTTTCACTCGCCAGGAGTTTAACATTGCCCTAGGAGACACATTGATGATGTCGAAACATAATTACCATTATGTAGCGATTTTTAGCATGTTTTAATATCCTAATATAAATAATATTTAGGTCTACTCTGTATTGAGCCCTCTTTTAAATTACAGTGGAATTATACTCAATTTGTTCTCATTTTACCTATATATATATATATATATATATATATATATATATATATTTAAAATTTTGGGTTTATGTAGATTGCGTGTATGGTGTTATTATGGAAGTGGTGGGGAAATGTCCTCGTTGTGTCATCGTACCGACGCAAACATCGATGCATGCTCACACGTCCAATGGAGTAACCAGACACATACATATACTTGGTCGTCCGTCGGGACTCATACATACAAATGTACAAATAATTATATATATATATATTTATTTATATTTATACACACACACACACACACACACACACACACACACACACACATATATATATATATATATATATATATATATATATATATATGTAAAGAAATATAGTTTTAAGGTGTGCTATTTATGTGGGATAAAGTGCTCAATCAGAGATAGAGCGTATATAAATATAAAAGTGAACATTGAAGTCAACACTCAGAGGCGACAGGCTGTTTCATGCTAGACGCAATCATCAGACGGCTTGACGATTGTGTCTAGCATGAAACAACCTGTCGTCTCTGAATGTTGACTTCAATGTTCACTTTTATACATTGTAAAGGTAATAAATCCGTTGGTATATAATCCAAGTGGGTCTTAGTAATATAAAATATTAAAACTGATCCACAAAAAGAGCTCAATGTATTTATTATTACAGAGCAAATAATTAATACAGATAAAAATCCCAAATCACCTCATATGGAGAATAAGCTTATTTCGACGCACGAAAAAATAAAATTCTTCAGTCTTATTCAACCCCGGTATAAACTGAGTTCATGCTGGAATTAGACATTTAACTGCGAAAGCTACAAAAAACAAACCTGTCAAAAAACTAATACAGAATTCATCCATTTCAACGTTTCAGTCAGTGGTCAGGGGAAAGTGGAAGTTATTTGTCTTAAAGGGAAGAAGTTTTATAAAATTAAACTCGAATATTAACCTTACGACATTAAATTGGGGTTATATGAAAAGTGAAATGTTAATTTAATACTAAGAGACGAATAAAAAGGTTTTAAAAACATTAAAATATATAGATAACGTTATGTTTAAAAATGCAAAATCATACTTAAAAGTACAAAGTCATATTCCCCCCAAAAAGTTATATTTAAAAAATTATATATATTTAAATACTTTATATTTTAATAATAATAATAATAATAATATATATATATATATATATATATATATATATATATATATATATGTTAGGAAATGGACAAGGTCCGACAATTTATTTATTAAAGATATTTTTATGTTTAACGTTGTTATTTATAGATACAAGTATTTAAGCAAATGCTCTGTTTATGATAAACAGTATTAAATAACATTTACCGGCCTGAATGTCCGAGAAATTTTCATAGAAAAAAAATCCTGTCAAAGAACGAATATTTTCTATGAAAATTTCTTGGACATTCAGGCCGGTAAATGTTATTTAATACTGTTTATCATAAACAGAGCATTTGCTTAAATACTTGTATCTATAAATAACAATGTTAAACATAAAAATGTCTTTATATATATATATATATATATATATATATATATATATATATATATATATATATATATATAAAATATGTTACACCACACACATTTAATTTTATGAAATTTTAAGATATTCTCTTTTGTATAGCTTTATGTATATATTTATTTTAAGGACAAGTAAACTAAACTAAAAGTAATATTTATTTCAATTCACATTAACTAAACTTTAAATCAGCTCACTTTTTACAAATAAAGTTTCAGAAAAATATATTTTATGTTTGAAAGATTTTTTAAATTATTTTGTGTTAATAGATTTGTTAATATCAAAATTTATTGATAATAAAAATAACATAATTCCAATCAATTTAAATTCGATTTGAAATGCAACAAAATTTTTTGCCTATTGGAAATATTTAATATATTAGCTTGCAATTAAAACTAGAATAATTCTCAAGAAAGATTTTTTTATTTTTAAAATGCATTTTGAACATTAATTCTAACTTTTTTTTGAGGCATTAATATTTAGCTATTTTTCCAGTTAAATTGTTTATATTTTCTCAGGGAGTAATCTTAGGTTTTTATCTCTACAATTAACTGCTGTCGGATATAAGAATAAATTTTGCTTTTTGAAATACTGTATATGCTTGTGTTCCATGCAATCTTTGAAGATCTAATTCTGAAGGTAATTTACTACAATAAATGGATATATAATTTGGTAAGCAGCGTAGCCAGGGTCAGTGGTACATATGCTAATTTTATATCTTATGTATGATACTACCCCCTTAAAATTAGCTTCAAAATTAGGTTTTCAAAAGCCGCATGATAAACGAGTACATACAGTATATATAACAAACCAACCTATAAGAATATTTTTTGGAAGTTACTTATATCCTGTCTAGCTTATAGAAATAGATAGTAGATACAGTGGCCAAGAAATGGGGGATGATTTTAATGCTAAAGAACAATACATAAGTGATCCCTCACTTTCTCTCATCCTTTCATTTGATTACCTATAAGGATGTTTTGAATTTCATCGATGATTTTACTATGGCCAAGAAATGGGGGATGCGTTTAATACTAAAGAATAATACAAAACTGATCCCCCACTTTTTACCATCGCGTCCTTTGATTATCGACAAGGAATTTTTTTAGTTACCGTATATATACTCGAGTAATATGCGGCTCTTGAAGACCTAATTTTGAAGCTAATTTGACTACGGTAAACGGATATATAGTTTGGTCAATGGTATAGCCAGGGCTAGTAGTACATACGCTAATTTTATATCTCGTGTATGATGCGACCCCCTTAAAATACAAATATTAAAAAAAAGCAGACACAAACCAAAAAATAAATAAATAAAACACAATGTAAATTTGCCTGAATTTCTGGGATGAAAACTATCCTCATCCCATAAATTCCTCAGGTGTATAACGATCTGGGTAACCTATAGCGAATTCCGAACTGAACCCTTTATTAAATCCACGGGGGTAGACTATTCTCGTATCCCTAGACACGAACAGTGGAACGAGGTCTTCCCACGTAGATTAAATAAAGGGTTCAGTTTGGAATTCCCTGTGGGTTACCTAGATCGCTATACACCTGATGAAGGCTGGAGGGCACAACGGTCGAAACGTTGTGATAAAAACAACAAAGATGAGGACAATAGTCCAAATATAAATAGTGTAAATAAAACACAATGTATTACTTACTCATGAGCAGGGTTGGATTATGATCTTTTGGGGCGCCTAGGCTAAGGAAATTATGCTCTTCCTCCTAAGGCAGAGCCACCTTCTATCTTGCCCGTACCCTACTTGAATATTTTTTAGTCGTGATCTATTTTAGCAACACTTACATAGCTTGAAGTAAACTTATTGGAAATTCTTTAATTAACCTAGAACAGCGATCTTTTATTTGTCAATGAAAATATTCTTTAAGAAATAGCAGTATTTTACTATTTATTGTAAAACAAATTAGCAAAGATTTCAACACAACCGTTCTAAAAAATACTGATTTTATAACCAGCATTATAAACAAATTTGAGAGGCCATAGGCTGCAGGTTATACTAGTCTATAGGATAATCCGGCTGTGGGCCTTAGGAGCTAGGCTGCAGCCTATACTAGTCTATAGGATAATCCGGCTGTGGGCCCTAGGAGCTAGGCCGCAGCCTATACTAGTCTATAGGATAATCCGGTTGTGGGCCCTAGGACCTAGTCTGCAGCCTTTACTAGACTATAGGATAATCCGGCTGTGGGCCCTGGTCCTAAGCTGCAGTCTATACTAGTCTATAGAATAATCCGGCTGTGGGCCCTAGGACCTAGGCTGCAGCCTATACGTCTATAGGATAATCCGGCTGTGGGCCCTAGGACCTAGGATGCACCCTATACGTCTATAGGATAATCCTGCTGTGGGCCCTAGAGCCTGGGCTGCAGCATATACTAGCCTATCGGATAATCAGGTCCTGCTTATGAGTAATTAATACGGGTAAAATCTTCTGGTACCATAGTATCGGGATTTTCTTAACTAAAATGTAGGTAATGGTCAGATTTTATAGCTGATAAATATATGAAGTCATCTTATGGTTTAGATTATAGAACTGAAGAATTTGGAGGGCAAATATTAATTGAATTTTTTCCTGAAGACAAGTTCTTTTATTATTTAGTCTCAGATGAACGGTTGACAAAATTGCTATTTACGAAAGAAAATAAATGAAATTCCTTAATAGAAATAAGAAACTTTTTATTCTGAAATAACGAAATGCATTTTTGATGTAAAAGATTTGTATATTTTATGAGAAAAGATTCCCAAGTCTCCACAGAATCTTTGTACAAAGCAAAGGGACAAGAAACTCCAGCCATGTCAATAAACAAAAATGATTAGGAGAAAACTTTTATCTTACCTTCCCAATAAAGCAGCCCAGCACCAAAAGTATAAAAGAAAAAAATAAAGTTCGACTTTTGCCGTTCAGCATCACTACAGGACAGTGTGAAGAAATATGAAGAGCCATGAAGCCTGAGTTGTATTTATAGTCCTGTAGCGTTTAGCAATGATACGGCTCACGGCTTCCTGCTTCGCCTTCTCCCTTACGCTCTTGCCATTTGAGTGTGTCAGGGTGTGGAAAGGAAGCGAGCCGAGAGAGAAAGAGGAAACAGGGAAAATAGACGGAAAAGAACTGAAAGGAAAAGAAAAGACTCAAACAAGGGGCGGAACATTATGTGTGGGTTTTAAATGTCAAAAATTAATTCCATAACTAAGAGTTGAATGAAGCATGCAAGGACGCAAAAAAACTAACTATAAAGAAACTATTTAACCAAGAGACTAAAAGACTATTTAACCAACAGACTATTTAACCAACAGAATATTTAACCAAGAGACTATTTAACGAAGAAACTATTTAACGAAGAGACTATTTAACCATGAGACTAACCAAGAGACTATTTAACCAACGGACAATTTAACCAAGATACTAAGAGAATATTTAACCAAGAAACTATTTAACAAAGAGACTATTTAACCAAGAGACTAACCAAGAGACTATTTAACCAAGAGACTAACCAAGAAACTATTTAACCAAGAGACTATTTAACCAAGAGACTAACCAAGAGACTATTTAACCTAGAGACTAACCATGAGACTATTTAAACAAGAGACTAACCAAGAAACTATTTAACCAAGAGACTAACCAAGAAACTATTTAACCTAGAGACTAACCAAGAAACTATTTAACCAAGAGACTAACCAAAAAACTATTTAACCATAGACTAACCAAGAAACTATTTAACCAAGAGACTATTTTACCAAGAGACTATTTAACCAAGAGACTAACCAAGAAACTATTTAACCAAGAGACTAACCAAGAAACTATTTAACCAAGAGACTAACCAAGAAACTATTTAACCAAGAGACTATTTAACCAAGAGACTAACCAAGAAACTATTTAACCTAGAGACTAACCAAGAAACTATTTAACCAAGAGACTAACCAAAAAACTATTTAACCATAGACTAACCAAGAGACTATTTAACCAAGAGACTATTTAACCAAGAGACTAACCAAGAAACTATTTAACCAAGAGACTAACCAAGAAACTATTTAACCAAGAGACTAACCAAGAAACTATTTAACCAAGAGACTATTTAACCAAGAGACTAACCAAGAAACTATTTAACCTAGAGACTAACCATGAGACTATTTAACCATGAGGCTATTTTATCATGGCTTATCCCCTTTCTCCTTTTTTATTAACTTTTAAATCATTTCACCCCAAGCAAGGCGATAATGTCACTAAGGTGCAAGGCGTTACGATGAGTAGAAGAGAATGAGAAAACCAGTGAGGAGAAAGGACAATAATTGAACAGAATTCAGAAAGATGGTGATTGACGTTGTAATTAAAATTTTTGAAGGTGTCAGGGAAACAAGAAAACGGAATAGAGTTCCACATGCTACAAGTGCAAGAGAAGACACTATTAGAATAGAACTTACGGTTCAATCTAGCTATTTCAAGAGTAAAATGATGAAACCTATTAGTGAATCCAGTTTTCTTCTTCATGTGACATGTTTCCTCACGACGTAGGCGATCATGGCTCTCCACAATTTCTTGTCTTTTGTAGCTCTTAATAAATTTCGAGTTCGAGTTCGCACGACCGTTATGCCCTGCTAATACCTCATAAATAATGAACTATTCCATTTTGATCGCGTGTAAAGAGGGGGAAAGACACTACTTGGTTTCAGTGAGAAAATGAATGAATGAAAGAAAGAAAGTAAGGAAAGGAAGAAAGAAAGAAAGAAAGAAGTGAAGATACATTTGTTTAACGGCTGCTTCGGTGAATTGGAAAATGTCAATTTCAAATCTTTTTATTTGTACCCCCTTACTTCTCAAAATAACGACCAGCATTCAGATTTATAACTGTTATTGCAATATTTTGTTAAAGTTGTTTAGCTCAAATATTTAACGATATGATAGGGGAATTTCTACGGATATTTAATTGTCATACAACTCGCTATGAGCTTATTCAATCATTAACTTAAGAATTAAGATTCATCAAAAACATATGAAAGTCGTTAAATTTTTACTTGTTAAAACTAGTATTAATTATTTACATTATTTACGCATAGGCTGTTGTCCTCATCTTTGTTATTATGATCACAACGTTTCGGCCGCTGTTTCCACAAGCCTTCATCAGATACTTGTCGATCAGCGTAATCTTCAGGGAATTTCGAGCTGAAGCCGAGATTTAATCTACTGGGCTCTTGACCATGCCAAGGTTTGTCTAGTAATGCTCTTTTATTAGTACTGATCGGGCATTGCTCGCCTCGTCTCCAGAGTCCAAGTACGTACTCCTCGGTCTAGGGATTGAACTCACAGGACGAGCAATAACTGAGCAGTACTAGAGAAAAAATAGACGAGACCTCGCAAGACATGGAGAGCGGAATGGGAACAGCCTAACCCAGTAGATTAAATAAAAGGTTAAGTTTGAAATTTCCTTGAAGATTACCTGGATTCACACGCACCTGATGAAGATCAGTGGGTGCGACTGCCGAAACGTTGTGATAATAACAACAAAGGTGAGGACAATAATCGCATGTAAATTTATGATAATTCCTCATATCAGAAATTCAGAGAAAAATGATCCAATATTAAATTAAATACTATAACAAACCAACCTATAAGAATATTTTTTGGAAGTTACTTAAATCCTGTTTAGATTATAGAAATGGTTTGATTTGGTTTGGTTTGTTTTACGGCATATCAACCTCAATGGGTTATTTAATGCCGACAAAATTTTTATTGCTGGTAATATGTTTTTCTTCAAAAATCTAGTTCTGGGAATATTTTTCCCTGAAGAAATCTATAGCTGGTCATATTCTTTTTCAAAGAATGTATAGCTGTTTGTATTGCCGGTATTTTTTTAAAAGTATTGCTGACAATTTTTCCTTAAAAAATTATTGCTGGTAATATTTTGTTATTACAAAGTATTTCTGGTATTAAAACCTACAGAAGTTTGGGTGTCAACTATTTGTCCATAGCTGGGACCCTAACAGGTGCTACCACTCCGGTTCAGGGTGGACCTGGGAACGCCAGCAATTAAGAGGTGGTTCCACGTAGTTTATCGTATTATCCAGGACGCGGATGTAGTTTATCGTCATACCCCGGACGGATTATAGAAATGGATAGCAGATATAGTGGCCAAGAAATGGGGGATGAGTTTAATACTAAACAACAATACAAAACTGATCCCTCACTTTCTCTCATCCTTTCATTTGATTACCTATAAGGATGTTTTGGAATTTCATCTATGAATTTACTATAGGCAAGAAATGGAGGACGCGTTTAATGCTAAAGAATAATACAAAACTGTTCCCCCACTTTTTACCATCGCGTCTTTTGATTATCTATAAAGATTTTTTTTTAGTTACGCGTATTATGCGACCTTTGGAAACCTAATTTTGAAGCTAATTTAACTAGAGTAAATGGATATATAGTTAGGTCAACGGCGTAGCAAGGGCTAGCAGTAGATAGGCTAATTTTATGTCTCGTGTATGATGCGACCCCCTTAAAATACAAATATTTAAAAAAAATAGCCGACACAAACCCCCAAAATAAATAAAACGCAATGTAAATTTCTCTGAATTTCTGGGATGAAGAATTATCCTCAGCCCAGAAATTCCTCAGGTGTATAACGATCTGGGTAACCGACAGCAAATTCCGAGCTGAACCCTTTATTTAATCCACGGGGGTAGGCTATTCTCGTATCCCTAGACACGAATAGGAGAGCAGTCTCCCCAGTTTCTTTTATTAGTTTTTGATTAAGTAATACCATATTGCGACAGGTAAGAATTAAACAATATAATTTAATGATTTAAAACGCTTTATTCTTGTCGTGATGTGTTACTCAGATCGATTGGCTAATTTGTTTGTTTAACGGCACGACAACATCCTTATGGGTCATTTAATGCTGAAATCTAATTTTCTTGTGAGCTTTGAAACAATAATAAGCTTATATATGTTATTCTGCTTTCACAATTGAATACATGGTAGATGATACTCAGCTTTTGTGCATGTACATGTTTGTGTGGACATGATTACTACAGGCGGTGATATGTGTGTTTTATGTTGTAGTTTTATTGAGTTATATTTTGGAATACAGTTTGGGTCTTTTCAGAAAATGTAAGATTTATATAGACATTATATGGATTAAGGGTTCTTTCATGTTGGTTGTTTGACTGGTTAATTTTGTTTAGTGGCATATCAACACCTCTATGGGTTATTTAATGCCGAAATCTAAATATTTTGTATGTTATTTTATACTTTCAACTACAGATATTTTGTACATAATTTTATATTTTTAGAGTAAAGGTTTGGTTTTTTAGATATATATTTTGTAGATCATAAAATCTACTGGTAATTTTACTATAAAATGTACTGTTGATTTTTGTGTGGGGGTTCATTATTTGCTCATAGCTTAGACCCTAACAGGTGCTGCCACCCGGGGTCAGGGTGAACCAGGAAACAACAGTAATTAAGAAGTCGTTCCAGACTCTTCAAAACTTCCAATTTCCCGATAAAAGGCCTTGCTGCCGGATGTAGTTCATCGTCATACCCAGGACGAGGGTTACTCAGCGAATAGTTTTTAAATATGACCTCTTCTGCAATTTCAGCCGGTGAACAGTCTAATATTTCTGTCAATAAAGTTAAAGCGTCTCTTGCATCAGACAACATCTGTATTAGGTAGTATTCATGTATCTCGGTTTCTTTTTAAAACATAAGCGGTCATGGCTCTCCACAGCTTCTGATTCTTTATTATTTTTGAACTGGCATAACTTACTGGGAAAGAGTGAAGCGGTTTCTAGCTGACTTCTCCACAGTTTTTAATTCAGAATTATCTTTTCCTCAGATTGGCTGCGGCCCAAGGCTAGAGAGCCAAAACTCCTCTGTTATTTAATCCATAGCTGGAGCGGAAGAGGTGGGCTTTTGACGAAAACACATATTTGCCTGAAAACCTGTTT